TCTTAAATCCAAAACTTCTATTCCCGAGTTTTTCCCGATGGGGTGGATTGAGTGGGGAGGGAAGGGGAAGGGGGAGGGGAGGAGGGAGGCTAAAACTAATGCCCAATATTTTAGTTGACAATGGGTACGCCCCAAAACATCCCAATGTCAAGTCAAGTCATCTTCATTTAGGAAGGATAGCCCCATCAGCCATAGGCTGGTATCAAAAGGGGCCCAATAGATCTCTTTTTTTTCATTTGAGACCGACGACTCTGCATAATTCATGGACGGAAAACCATTTCAGTTTGGAAACGTGTGCTCCCCGTATGGAATTTGCTTGAGGCATATGTTTTCTATAGCGCGCCCACTCGAAGCACTCAACTTCTTAACGACCGGCTCTTTTTATTTGGCGCAGAGTATGGTGGTGCATATTTCCATTTTTCCATCAAAATCGATAGTAGTCAAGCTTAATACTGTTTTCTCGATAACGTACCGGGGAAACTGGCGCCAGCTAGAAACAGTCCGCTATATAAAAATGTACGTTTAGTAATCTAAGGCGGCCTTCACACGGCAAACTTAGGTTGGTATACCCGTGTTGGCAAACTCGTTCCTTCGCTCGTCAAACTCACGTCAAATCACAACACGCGGTAATTTGCAACATGACCGACTTAGTGCAGTGGCACTCACGTACAACAATGGAACAGAAGAAGAGAAGAGAACAAACAGAAAGCGAGAAAGGTTTGGACGAAACTCAGTTTGTCCTCTAGCTCCTCCTTTCTTTTGTTTGTTTTTAGTATCTTTGAAGACTACAGATGAAACGTCCCACACAGCCAGACAATTGTGAACCTCTTCGATAAATTTAAAAGTGGCCTCGCGTATATCTTGACTTGCGTCCGCCATTTTGTGAAGTGTCACGCAAATGAATCACGTGAATAGAGCGCGTGTTTTGATTGGTTGACAGTTACCAAGACATATTTGCCAATCGTTCACACGTCAGATACGAGTTTACCAACATGAAAAAGTTGGTGAAAAAGTTGGCGAGAATAGAGTCGCCAACAGTTTGCAAACGTGTTTGCCGACTGTTTATGTGACGTTCACACACCAACTTGAGTTTGCCAACTTTAGTTTGCCGTGTGAAGGCCGCTGAAAGCATCAAAAAGCAACTCACGTCAATTTAGTTTCCTTGTAGTCCGAGTCTAGATGCCGGCAGAATCGCAGTCAATACCACAGTTGCAGAAAACTTGTGTATATATAGATACAATGTGGTCGCAACATTTAACATTCAGAATTTTAATGAGCATCAACGGTTTTCGAACATCGCACCAACGTTTTTTTTCGGTAATTTTATCGACAAGCGACAAACCAGTTGGATTGTTTCAGCTTTTAAACTTAATATGATTTTGTTTGTATGTAATAACCCTAAATGAAACTTTGTGAACCACGTAGTGAATAATCACGCTTTTCTTATAAAGATATTAGAACCAAACGACGACATGTAGCCGACCCGCGCACTCCAAGTTCTGTTTGTGGTGTTGCAGAACTACCGAGGTAACGACGAACTTCGTGGAGCAAAGAAGAAAAGCAGAAAATATCAAATTTTCTCGAATTTATGACATCAAACTTTACGGTAGTCTGCACAACGGTTAACGTTACGAAGCAAAAATGTAAATTTTACAAATTTCTGGGAATCATGAATGGTAAACTTTCATAGATCTCTAGCTGGCTGAAGAAATTGTAAACTTACCAACGCTGAAACCTGTTTCACCGAGCTCCTGTACAACCCGACAGATGACTCCTAAAGCGGCAGTGTCAGAGTTACCTCGATCTTTTCTGTCTTTTATACCAATTTCCGTACCCCCGAGAGGTTATAAGGGGTTTTCCCTTCTTGAACAGAATGTGAAGGCTTGGCTTCCATTGACAGTGATTGACGTGGGAAATTTCCCCGATAATATTTCCCCGACAGTTCCGGGATAAAACCCCCAAAAAGTTCGAAAGTTCACTTATTCAGTCTGAATCCTTTAAAACCTAAGCTGATTCTATCGCAATTGTACATGTTATATAAGAAGAACGCAGGGAAACAAGAAAGCCTCAACACTTATAAGTCAACCTTTCAGTATTGAATATTGAACATTTAAGCTTGACTAATTGTTTACAAGATCGGTCAGGGTGTAATACCCGTTTTAATCACCCGCTCGACAAGAGTAACGGTCTCCGAAAGTTGAGACAATTCAAAAGTTCATTTGTAACGTCGACGGTCATGGAGAGTGTCGCTACTTTGGAAAGTTTAAGATACCTGCCTCAGCTGCCTACCTATCTAAAGACTTAGCTACCTTCCTTGACGTCCCTATAATTGACTGAAAGTTCACCGTGAAACAACCTTGAAAAAAATCCGTCGCAGGTTCAGTTGGTATTGAGTAAGCGTTCCTAAGCGTATGGTGCGAAACTGACTA